TGCGCCTTTGAGCCCGCATAGAGCCTTTGATTATACCTCGCCGAAAATCTGGTTGTTGCGAATAGCGTATTAAAGCCACTTCTTTTGTTTGATCTTGATCTGCGGTATCAGTATCTTTGGTATCAGGATCGTTATTCTAGTTGTTGGCAGTAAAAATCACTACGCGTTTGGCTTTTCTTGAATGAATTTGATGATCCAGTGGTACCCCCTCTTGATAGTCACCCGATTATTGTTCCAATTCGCTTTGAACTCAAATAAGACCTTCTTTTGGTTGAGTGACTTCGTTCCTGGTCTTCCTATTCCCTTCGCTTTCCCAACCGCTGCCTCTAAGGCCCAAGTACTTTCTTTGTTTGATCAAATGATTGATTTAGATTTGAAATTCCTCTTTACCAAGGGAAGAGAGTGTGGTATGTTGTATTAAGAATGACAATTGCATAATTTCTAAGAAGAAGGTATAAATTATACCGGTGCTAATTACCCCCACCTTCTATAAGGTATAAGTTATCCCAGTGTTAAAATTAACACCGAGATAACTTATACCTGGTTAGCTAACCAAACAGAGTATTAAGGTGGTATTAAATTTTTATACCACTGTTATACCTTCTTATACTTCATACCAAACGACCCTTTATATGCTAAAGATAAATTATACTGACGGGTTTAAATTTTGGGTCTCAGGATGCGAGGGGTAAAAATGGGCTAGGTATCTTGGTTGATACGGATCTTAGGGAGCTAGTGGTGGAAGTTAGGAAGATGAACGACGGGCTGATGGTTATTAAGCTGGTTGTGGGAGGATCAACTTTAAATGTGATTAGTGCTTACACGCCTCAAGTGAGTTTGGACGAGGAGATTAAAAGGCGTTTCTAGGAAAAATTTGACGGGTTGGTACGTGACATTCCGCTCACCGAGAAGTTATTCATATGAGGTGACTTCAATAGTCACATTTGGGAGACATCTGGGGGTATGACGGTGTGCATGGAGTTTTTGACTTTAGTGTTAGGAAAGGAGGAGGTACTTTGTTGTTGGACTGTGCTAAAGCCTTTGATTTGGTGATTGCCAACTTATGTTTTCCGAAAAAGGAGGAGCACTTGGTTACATTTCGGAGTTCGTTGGCCAAGACTCAAATTGATTATCTACTCCTCCGAAAGTGTGATAGGAGTTTGTGCATGGATTGCAAGGTTATACCAAGCGAGAATCTCACGACTCAGCATAAATTATTAGTGATGGACTTAGAGATCGTGAGGAAGAGGAGGAAGAGGTCCATGTATGGTCAACTCAGGATCATGCGGGGTGTTTTGACTAGTGACAAAACGTAGGAGTTGGGGGGAAATTATTGGTTATGGGAGCCTGGAGGAGCAGTAGAGATGCGAGCTGTATGTGGACCACGATAGCGGAGTCTATTAGAGTAGCTGCGAGAGAAGTGTTAGGAGTCTCGAAGCATTTCTCTAGCGATCACGAAGGTGACTGGTGGTAGAGCGAAGAGGTACAAGAGAAAGTAGAATCCAAGCAAGCGGTGTACTTGACGCTTATAGAGAGCATGGACAAAGAGGCGAAAAGTATGAACAAGGAGGGGCATAGGAGGGCTAAGAAGGAGGCGAAGTTAGCATTTACTGCGGCTAAGAATGCAGCGTTTAGGCGTTTGTGAAGAGCTTGGGGCCAAAGGTAGGGACAAGAAGCTATACAAGCTAGCCAAGGTGAGAGAGAGAGAGGAAGGCCAGTGATCTGGATCAAGTTAAGTGTATCAAAGATGAGGAAGGTAGAGTTTTGATGGAAGACGCTTGGATTAGACGAAGATGGCAAATATATTTTCATAAACTCCTGAACGAAGGGGGTGATAGAGACATTTTGTTGGGCAACTTGGAGCACTCCGTGATGCCCCGTCAGGATTTCAGGTAATGTAGACGCATAAGATAGAGGAGTTCGAGGGGGCTATACGTAAGATGCACAAGGGTAGAGCTACCGGGCCAGATGAAATGCCGATGGAATTTTGGAAGAATGCAGGTAGGGCAGGTTTGGAGTGGCTCACTAGGTTGTTCAATATCATTTTTAGGACGAAGAAAATGCCCGATGAATGGAGGTAGAGTACGATGATTCCTCTATATAAAAATAAGGGCGGTATCCAAAGTTGCAATAATTATAGGGAGATAAGTTGCTAAGTCATACTATGAAAGTTTGGGAAAGGGTAAAGACCAGTGTGTCCATTTCTGAAAACCAATTCGGTTTCATGCCGGAGCTTTCGACTATGGAAGCTATTCACATTGTGAGGAGATTGGTGGAGCGATATAGGGAGATGAAGAAGGACTTACACATGGTGTTCATTAACTTAGAAAAAACATATGACAAATTCCCGAGAGAGGTGCTCCGGCGATGCTTGGAGGCTAAAGGGGTCCTAGTAGCCTACATTAGGGTGATTAAGGACATGTATGATGAAGCTAAGACTCGGGTTAGGATGGTGGGAGGAGACTCAAAATACTTTTCGGTTATGATGGGGTTGCACCAAGGATCATCTCTTAGTCCATTACTATTTTCATTGGCTATGGACTTTTTGACGAGACACATTCAAGGTGAGGTCCGATACTGTATGTTATATGCCGGATGACATAATTTTAACTGACAAGATGCAGGGTGGTGTTAACGAGAGGCTGGAGGTTTGGAGGCAGACCCTAAAGTCTAACGGTTTCAAATTGAGCAGGACCAAGACGGAATACATGGAGTGCAAGTTCAGCAACGGTACCCAGGAAGGGGATATGGAGGTGAAGCTTGATACGCAAGTCGTCCCCAAGAGAGGTAGTTTCAAGTATCTTGGATCTATAATACAAGGTAACAAGGAGATTGATGAAGAAGTCACGCATCGTATCAGAGCAGGATGGATGAAGTGGAGGCTCATTTTCGGTGTCTTATGTGATAAGAATGTGCCTCTGAGACTTAAAGGCAAGTTCTACAAGGTTGTAATTAGACCAACTTTGTTGTATGGAGCAGAGTGTTGGCCGGTAAAGAACTCTCATACCCAGAAACTAAAATTAGCTAAGATGAGGATGTTGAGGTAGATGTGTGGGCATACCCGGTTGGAGAAGAATAGGAATATAGTTATTCGGGAAAAGGTGAGAGTGGCCCCTGTGGAGGATAAGATGCGGGAGGCGAGGTTGAGATGATTCAGGCATGTTAAGAAGAGAAGTATAGAAGCCCAGTTAGAAGGTGCGAGCGGTTAGTCTCGGTGGGCAGCATGAGGGGTAAAGGTAGGCCTAAGAAGTCTTGGGGAGAGGTTATTAGGCGGGACATGGCGCAGCTGGAGCTGACTGAGGACATGGCCCTAGACAGGAGGGTGTGGAGGTCAAATATTAGGGTAGAAGGTTCGTAGGTAGTTGAGCGTTTCTCTTTGTCTTACTCAGTTCGCTAGCATTTGTGTTAGTATGATATCTTTTATTCATAGATGCCTATTACTACCTAGGGTTTGAATGCATTCTTAGATTCGATCTTATTTCCTCTTGTTGTTATTCTACTTGTTGCAATTACCTTTTTTTTCCAGTCGTTCTCTAGTCGAGAGTCTATCGAAAACAGTCTCTTTGCCCTTCCAGGGGTAGGGGTAAGGCTGCATACATCTTACCTTCCCCAGACCTCACTTGTGGGAAACTACTGGATTTGTTGTTGTTGTTGTATATCAAGACCTTAAATGATAACTCCAATAAAGACCGGAGAGAGTAAAGTATTTCAAAGAGTACAATGAGAGCAACACTTCCAGGTTTGCCCAACGCTCTTCATGTATGAAAACTTTAACCAAATCGACGATGCGTATACCATTTTGTAGTTTGCATATATAAAATATTTTTAACATAGTTATTTGTTGAAAATATATATTCATAATTCACTTTAGTATTTCAATTATGCCTGCTTAAATTCTAATTTCGCGTCCCGCCGAGGTGGCTTTCTTTTCTCAATACGGTTAATTTAGTAGCTTTTAGCTTGATTAGAGTCGCAATATTATAGTTGGAAAATCACATATCTTAAAAAGCTACAATTATACAAACAAGTAGCGCAAAACTTTTTAATTTGGCCACCATTCAACTAAGAAATATAACTAGTCATATTCTTGGGTTACACATATTCCACATGAGGGGTTTCAGCACTTGAAAATTTACTCTGTTTTTGAGCAAACTAAAAAAACATTCACAAGATGATAGTGTTTCAACATCTAGTTAACTGTTGCAATTTTGTAGAATTGCTTAGAAGTCCATAAAAGGTAACCAATAAGATAAAAGTGCAACAGAAGCAGGTAAACCTGTTCAACATTTTGGTTATAAGATCACAATCTCACAGCATCACACAAGAACAATGACACCAACCATGCATGACAAAGGCCTAAAGCGCATCTGCGATAATTAAATGAGCTCTTACTCCAAACTCTGCCAAAACTTCAGACATTATAGATTGTCCATTATCAATTGTCCTTCGGCACCTTACAGAAGGACTGAAAGTAAAATTGTACCAATGTCCATACTAGCAACCTTAGTTTGATCAATAAATGGTGAAACAAACAGGGCTCATCTGTCAGCCAGTTAGGATGCTGGGTTGGCATTGTGCCATCCTGTGGTGCATGGCGAGATGCTCATGAACTCATCAAATTCTTTGACATGAATATCACAGCATTTCCACTGCAAATTCAAAGGACAACCAGAAAACATGAGTTTTTCCGATAATTCTTTGAACATTACCTACTAAATACAAGTAGGGAGATATTGTACAAACATAGCGAAATATCACAAAAGCAATGCTTAGCACCCTTGAAAGAAACTAAACAAGATGAGTGTTTCTTTATCAACTTACTCCTCTCATCCGGTCATGGAAGATAGCGGGGCCAGGATGGTAACTGCAAGCAGTGTCATGATTTTCCTTTTCTGTAAAGGTCTTACCACAGCCCTTGTTTTTACAAATTTGGGGCTCATTTATATCAACTTTCTCCTTCACCGGAGCAGGATGGCATTGCTGTACATCTCTATTGCTCTCAGAAGGTACAGATGTTACTGTATTTGATGCTTTTGGAATTGCTTCTCTAGGTTGTGAACCTTAGAAAGCAATAGCAAGAACACTGATCAGAGTCTGGGCTAAAAGTAAAAAAGAGTCCCTATATTGGGAGTAGAGCAAAAAGCAGCTTGAGACTGAAAACACTTTTTCCTCATTAACAGCAACAGGTACTAGGTAAACTAGAATTTTCCTAGTCTTCCAAAGTAATGCGCTAGATGAAGTAAGAAGATGGAAGACTACCGTGATCAGAACAAAAGAATCCCTGGCGGCATCTAGGACAAGCATCCTTCGGTGATACATTGGCCATAGAAGTCGGTGTGGAAATTGCTCTATTCCGGTTAGCAGCTGGCTTTGCTATCACTGGTTTTTCTGTTGTGTGTTTTCCTGTCTTACAACTGCATAAAATGAACTTTGATTTTACAGACAGACACAGAAGAAATTATGTGTTTTAGCTCGATACTCAGCAATCTAAGGATAGGTTCCAAGTCAAACAAATCAAGCAAATTATGACTGTGTTTCATAATTCTTCCTACACTAGAGATAAGAAGATGAGGAGGAGGAGGATTGATAAAAGAAGTATGTTGTTCACTTATTACCTACCCCCCCCCCC